TGCAGCCATTTTGTGGCTGCACACGCCACCCGGCATCAGAATTCCAAAGCTGCCCACTGGCTCGAAAAGGTCGGGGACCCCTGATCTAGAACACCCTCCACTCTTTTCTGTGGCAGCTGCCCCTCACAGGAGAATAAAATTGGTAAAAGGGTTGTTTTTATGTGTTTTAATGTGTTTTGTACTTGACACATGGTGCCCGTGTCTGTTAGCCGCCCTGAGCCCATTCGCGGGGAGGGCGGGATAAAAATATATTAATAAATTAATAAATAAATAAAGGCAATGAAATAAAAACCCCACCGTTCATACCCTCTCTCTGCTTCTCTTCCTTTCCAGGGCTTTGTGGTGGCCGTCCTGTATTGCTTCCTCAACGGAGAGGTAAGATCAAAAGGTTAATTGGCCGAGGTCGCATAGGGAAGCCTGCCATCTCATTAAATGATTAGCTGATTAGTCATCTGCCTCTCTGCTGGTTTGTCAGTGGATTCTCTGATTGCCGTTAATTAAATTTGCATATCGCCGAACCCTCAATAGAAATGTCTTTCTGGTTTGATGAAGGAAGAGGGAGATGGTACGGTTTCAGAGACCAAAGTTAACCCTTTGCGATGAAGCTCGCGTCCACATGGAGGTCTTTGTGCCGTGTTCACCCACAAACTGCAGCATTTATTTCGGGGGCTACCCAGCATTCCCCAGCTCTGTAGTTCCTTCCTTGAGAGCAGGTTTGGTGTCATGGTTAGGAGCCCAGACTCTATAATCTCGGAGAACCGGGTTTGAGTCCCCACTCCTCCACTTGCAGCTGCTGGTGTGACCGTGGGTCACTTGTAAGTTCTTTCAGAGCTGTTCTCTCAAGAGCAGTCTTCGAGAGAGCTCTCTCAGCCCCTCACAGGGAGGGGAACGGAAAGGAGATTGTACGCCACTCAGAGACTCCTTCGGGTAGTGAAGGGCAGGGTATAAATCCAATCTTTTCTCCTCTTCTTCTTAAATCTGCTTTTCAGAAATATCATTCTCAAAGCAGATTTGGGGGACGTGTGATGGGAAGGGGCAGATTTCCACATCTCTCTGTCCACACCTGGCACCATTTCACCCCATGTTCACCATCGTCCTCACTGCTAGCAGACTTTTTGCAGGCTGTGGGGTTTTTAAAAAAATCTATAGCAGGCCACACTCACAATTGATTCCATCGTCAAATTACTCTCCTGGTTTAGGAAGTTTCTACCCAAATCTACCCTCCTGTAATGCAAACCCATCAGATCCAATCTTGCCCTCCGGGCCATTAGAAAATGAGTCTTTTGCTTGCTTATAGATCTGTATCTCACTGTATCTTGTGGGCTTAGAGCAGCTTAGGTTAGTCATTCTGAAGATTTTCTTTCCCTGGAAGGAACCCACAATCTGAGACATTCAGCCGTGCGGAGGGAGAAAAAGGCCGCATTTACATTTCGTAGACATGAAATCTAACACAAACAAAACTGCTTAGCGTGCCGGGCAGAACCAGTTTGAACTGCCATCTAAGGAGTTTCCTGCAGGTGGATATTTGTTGGAAAGGTCCCCCAGGTTGGGTTTTGTAAGGACGGGAGCTGTGTCGCAGGTGTGATGGTAATGGAGGAGGAGGAGGAAGAGGAGGAGGAGAGATTGGATTTATACCTTGCTCTTCATTTGGCATCTCAGAGCAGCTTACAATCTCCTTCCCTCCATCTCCCCACAACAGACACCCTGTGAAGCACGTGGGGCTGAAAGAGCTCTTTCAAGGACTGCTCTTGAGAGGACAGCTCTGAAAGAACTCGTAGACAGATAAGAAATTGCTGCAAGGTTCACAAATTACAATGAATAGACAATAATAAACTTGGTAACAGTGATGCTTCGTGATGTTTAATTCTTTGATGTTTCAAGACTTGTTGTCCGAATGTAAGACTTGTTAGCCTGTGTGCTGTTGAAGCTGTATTGGATTAAGACCTGTTAGCCTGTGTGCTGTTGAAGCTGTATTGGAGATTGATATCATTATTGAATATAATAAGACAACCAGAGATTCGAATTTGGGTTGATAAAGAGTTCCATCGAAACGAACAACCACTCGAGATGTTCGTACTTCTTGTTCTTGTTGATGTCATCTTCTGTGGGTGACGTCCTGTGTTTTGAAACATCAAAGAATTAAACATCACGAAGCATCACTGTTACCAAGTTTATTATTGTCTATTCATTGTAATTTGTGAACCTTGCAGCAATTT